AGGGGCTGAGACGCCGTGGCAGGGTCGCCGGGCTCGGTGGGGGTGCGCGGTTGATGGGAACTCGGTTGCAGGGATGGATGGCTCCTCAGCCCTCCGCCAGGGCTGGCTTTGCGGAAGCAGCAGCTCAGAAAGGTTTTCTGGGTTATTTGCTGTGCAGGCTGCTGGGGGCAGAGAGCGGAAAAGGTAGAATATCATTCACTTTTCAGCAATGTGTTCTGTGGGTTGGAGGCTGAGGTTTTGCTGGGATAAAGGGCAACTTGCAGAAGATCAGGAGTGGAGGAATCCAAACAAACTTTGGTATCTCTTGTAAATGTGTAATCCCTGTGTTGTTCTGCAACAAGCAGTTCACGGAAAAGCGGTGTAGGACCGGGGGAAGGATATATTACCTCTGCTAGAACTTGGGTTTCTTCCATGTGCTGACCCGTGTGCAGCGTGAGGTTTACAGATGTACGTGCTGAGCATTTCATTTGGGGTGAGCTCATGGCCACTTATTTCATACCAGCTCTAGCAGGCAAGACTCATCTTCTGCTTGTCCTGAAGACCTTTTAGCAATAATTTTCATAGAAATGGGTCAAAGACTAGGACAGTGTGTGTGGTTTCTGCCTTTTATGCTCTTGGGCTGAGGATGTGAGAACATGCCTGCACAGCTGGGCTCTTGTACTGACACTTCATCTCTGTCATTCCCAGAGAAATCCATCTTCTATGTAAATTGCATCAGGTTCCATTGCCTCTAGGGTAAGTCTTAGGAAACTCAGAACATAGTCTAGAAAACAGACTTTTTAATCTGAAGGGGCAGCGTCAGTTTGGACTGAGTTCAGAAGCCTGAATCTGTGAGATTGTAGATGGGGATCAGGTTATGAGAAGAGGAACATGGGTGCTACCTCCTGTGGGTAGCTGGCACATGTCTCCCATCGTATTTGTTTTCTGGGTGTGCTTGCGTTTATGAACTACTACTGGAGTGTAAAGCAATTCAGGTTATTTCCTTTCACTGTGTGGTGGCAAGAACACTATTATAAACAAGACCGCAAAATCTGAGGAGAACTGAAATGCTGAAATATTTTTTTAGTGAAGTGCAAGTTTAACTTTCTCTAAAAATACGCACTTTCAGTTGTTAACTTAGATTAGGCAGTGTTCTTATGCTTTAGCTGAATTAGTTTTACTTGAAGTACTACTTGGTGCAGTCATAAGCAGAAAGTAGGTCATGTTTAATTTGTTGCTATATTGGACCATAAGTGTTCCTCTTTACCCTTAGAGGAGTACTTCAAAGAAGGGTGGAAAAAAAGAAAAGAATAAAGCATATATATTGATGGAGTGCTGAGAAGTTCATCTCCAGTAGCTTTAGATCTTTGAAGAGTGATCTGACAGTATCTGTGGGTCCTATTGGCTCAACTCTTTTCCCTAGTTCCTGTCAAAAGGAAATATTCTCGAATTAGTTTTAGAAAATAATGAATCAGTAAAGCTTATAGGAGGTGAGTAAGAGAGTGGGTGAATTAAAATGGCTTTTGACCTCTGGTTTCACAGCAAGGAGTCCCCTGGAAGCAGCTTGTCCGTGGTGGCTGTGCAGCGCTGCGGTACGAAGGGGAGGCTGTGTGAGAAGGAAGGAGTGGGTTGTGCAACAAGTTGCCAGGGGAGACGTACCCAAACTGACTTCCAGAGAAGAATACGATGGAGATGAACTGTGATATGATGAAAATAATTCAGACTTTGGCTGGTGCGTTGCTTTTGGTATAGTAGCAGTAGGTGTTGGTTCAGCGTACAGAAGGATCTTTTGTACCAGTATAGAAATGCGTGAGGCTCTGGGTTTATTCGCGATGTCAGTCAGCGCTTGCAGCTGGGAACTTGGGCTTTCAAAACAGTTCGATGAACTGGATGTTGTACTGAAGCACCGGTATAGATTTGGATGTTCTTGTGGATGGCAGCCAAGCCTCTTTGACTAAGTGCAAATGTGTTGAGGTAACTTAATACTGAATTGGCTCTTTTAGAGGGCAGTGTTAAGATAAAGAATCGATAAGGCGACTGATGCGCTGTATGAGAATTCCAGACCGGGAATGGCTTTTTTTTTTGTAGCTGAGAAGTACTGCTTATGGTCTTTGTAGATATTTTTTTTCTGAGGTTCAATGTTCTAGCTGTGCCAAGCTGTCAGAATGTCTTGTTTAACATCTATGTTGTACAAGATGCTATGCTCGTAGGGAGTGAAGTGCCATGATGAGCAAGTGTTACTGGAAATTGCCTGGAATAGGGGTTTTTTTGGAGCAAAATGTATTGAAGGTATTGCACAACAGGCTAACTGTCTGCAAATGTCAAGCCTGACATCCTGAGAAATGATTTGTGCTCACTTGAGGGTGTTTGGGTGTTTTTCTGGTTATATACAAGATGGTTACATTGTTTTCCCTTTTTCTGCTTTGGTAGTGATGCAGAGTGCAAGTAAACAAGTTCATGTGCTTGATACATGAGTATTTTTTTGTACTTATATAGCTTTTCCAATATGTTAAAATTACCAGGCTTCCAAAATTACCAGTTTTCCTTCTGCTGTGAATCAAATATTGTTCTGTAGCGTAACTGCAGACTTATTTTTCCAGATCAAAGTATTTTAGAACATGTTCAACAGGAGAACACTTCACTATAGAGGTGAGTGCTTACATTCCTAATGATTTTAATCAAAAAAAGTGGAAAAAACTGAGTTCTAGCAGTGCTTTAACACTTTTTGTGGTTTCTGTGTGCTGCAATGGACTGTTACTCCAGGCCAAACTGACTGCAAGGTAGTGATTCCTACAGCACCTTGGAACATGAATGCATCCTCTCACTTGAATCTGTCCTTTGGAAAGAAGTATCTGTTAGCATTTGACACTCAGCACCAGAGTTTTTTAGTTTGCCCGCTGCACCTTTCAGCACTGCTGTGTTGGGAATGATTTCTTCTCCTTGCTGAGTCAGATTCTACAGAAAGCTACAGTATGATGAGATTAATAGGTAGTTGCACCTGTATGACATTTTATTCACCACAGGTCCTTTCTCAGCCACCAAATATCTCCCCTTTTTGCAGTGAGGAGGTTAAGATTCTCAGAATAATCTGGTTTACTTCCTGTCGTTGTTCCTTATGGTCTAAAAGTCCTAGACTTTTCAGGTTGCTCCCATTAGTGAGAACAACATGAATAATTCTCATCCCCGTTCTGGCTTTTAAGCAAGGGGGCAGATGTATGCTGGGGGAAATCTGTTTTAACCTGCAAATTTGAGTTGTGAGAGCATTTCTGAAACGTGATGGGGGGGGAAGGAAAGGTTCTGTCCTCCCAAACTGTTAGTCATATTCTGCTTACAGTGATTAGTCACTACACAGGTCCATGAAGAAGCTCATTTAAGGTACTAAGCTATATGTAGTTGATACATGAAACACTTAAGATTATTGTGAGAGCGCTTCTGAAACGTGATGGGGGGGAAGGAAAGGTTCTGTCCTCCCAAACTGTTAGTCATATTCTGCTTACAGTGATTAGTCACTACACAGGTCCATGAAGAAGCTCATTTAAGGTACTAAGCTATATGTAGTTGATACATGAAACACTTAAGATTATTTAACTGAGGATAGTAAAAGAAAACACTTGCTTTATGTGAGTTTAGGAGAATGTTATAAGAAACATGAAGAAGTTTGGTGCTACCCTAAAAGTAGTACTTGCTCTGTCAATTGTCTGCTGTCACTGGAGTAGTGTTTTTGAAAGATGGATTATGAATTAAATCATACCTGCTCTATGTATTAAATGATGCAGTATATTGGATTGTAAAGATTGTTTACTTTTTTCTTGGCAGTTTGAGAACCTAGTGGAAAGCGATGAGGTACGTACTTAGATCCTATGTGAAACCTGCTTGTACCACCCTTAAAGAAGTTTTCAAGATATGTATTTCCTCCTGCTTTATGCAATCTTGTAGACTTAAATTGCAGGGTTTACTTAGCTACTTGCTCTAGGAGTGAATATTTAACATTTTGGGAGAACTTGAGACCTAAGAGGTGGAGTGGAAATACTTGAAGGAAAATTTGCTTCTGGTTTAACTCAGCAAATGCTCTTTATCTGAGAACATAAGTGGACCTGGGTTGCTTTGTTAAGGGAAACTTTTGGAGTGCTCTGTCTTACGTGGCTGAACAGTACTGCACAAAAGAAGTTGGTTTTAAAAGTTATAAGAACTAAGTTGATTATGGCTTGATAATGAATAAGACACAGTACCTTGCTCTGTATTTAAAACCATAGGAGGCTAATAGTCTGAAATATATCACAGGAATATTTCTTTTTGGTTGGAACTATGGATTTTATTTAGTCAGCTGCTTCAGTTGATTCCCTAACAAGATGTTTTTAAAATCCCTATTAAAACAAAGGATTTGCCCTCCCAATTGTAAAACAATTATATGGCAGAAGGTAGGATTTCATATATTTTTCCCATCTTAAGACTGATTGGTTTTTTTTCTTTTACTAGGGTGACAGCCCAGGAAGCAGTCACAGGTAAGACTTGGAGATTCAGGACCTCTCCTGCCCTCTTCTCTCCCACTGTGATGGATGTTTTTCAGAGTTCCTGTCAAAGCCTGAACAAGTCTATCTTTTTAATTGCCAGACAGGTAGAAAGAATACATGTCAAACTAATTTTAATATTTAACAGTGTCAAGACAGGTGGGATGGTAATGCATCACGCAAAGAAGTTTAGGGCAGTATGCTGTCGAGGGCGTCTTTATTCTTTTACCCAGTGTCTGTATTTCAAGTTATGTGCTACAACTGCAGCGAATCTTTTGGTGACTTTAGTATTTAACTAAGCAATAGAAACATAGTACGGGAATCATGAGGGCACTAAAATGTGTACTTGGGTTGCCTAATTGGAGACATTATGTTGTATTTAAGTTTGATAGTACCCTGTCAGGGGTCTGAAAAAAGCAAGACAGCAAACCTTAGCACTGTTGCAATGCTTGTTAGGCAAAAGTAGATGTAAAGTAGCAACAGGGGAAAAACTTATTAATGGGGACCAAAAGAAGTAAGAAAAAAGTGAGATTTAAACCACTATGATATTAAGTGTTGTGTTCCAGTAGTTGTGTTAGCAAACAGTGTTTTGGGAATACGTTTTCTGTGAAGATTGAAGAAATAGTTTGTAAGCGTCAGGATTAGCTGGAGTCAAGTGGGACTTTGGAACCTTGTTCTCAGGAGGAAATCACAGCTTGTTGAATTAGCTTTAAAAGGCCAGTCAGAGAAGGCTAAATGGATATGTTGAAGTGCAACTCGGGGTTGTCGCACGTGAATAATAGATGGAGTGTTTCCGTGTTTCTCCCATGCTTTCAGGCCTCTGACTGATGAGGAAATTGCTGACTTGAAAGACAGACATTATGACTCCATTGCTGAAAAGCAGAGGGTTGTTGATATGAAACTGCAGTCAGAGGTAAGCTGTTACGATGACCACTATGCTCTGGGTAGTTCTTCGTTTAATGTATTTAAGATCAACCAACAACACAAGGAGATGGCATTTGTGGGAACGAAACAACTGGGTTTTGTTGAACAGTTTGTGTTTTTTAGCGTACATGATACATGAAAAGATTGCTGCACAATTAAGTAGGCATCAGAGATTATCTCAGCCTCTTAGTTGAAAAAAATTGAATAGCCTGTCTTGGATTGATATTATATTTGAGCTTTTGGGTTTTTGTTCGGCTGTTTTTTGCTGTGTGTTTTCTCGTGGTTTATTTTTTTGGTTGTTTGGTTTTTTTACAAAAGGCAAAATGGGGAGTATACTTTGTTTCGCTTTTGTGCACAGTTTTCTTTTCCAAAGCTTTGCTTAAAGGGGGAAAAAAACCAACCTCCATTATTAACTTTGTTTTCACATGTTGCAGCAATTAATAGAATATGATGTGAAATACAATGTAGAAGTGGGAAGTTATTTTTAGTGAACTACCAGTGACATATGTAACTGAAAGTTTTAAGTCTTCCACTGGTGCAGTTGGTTAGTAACATGAAACATGTGTTTGCAGCAATTAACTAGTAATGACATAGGATCCTGTTTAGTGCTCTAAATTTCTTGGGCTGTTTCGCCGGGGGGAGGTGTTAGATTCACTTAATGAGTAAAACTGTTTTAACTATAGTTGATTTTATTTTATTTTTATTTTCTAGTAGCTCTTTTGTTTTATTGTTCTTGAGGCTTTTTTCCTAGGAAGATAGATAGGTTCTGCTTTTGTTAACCATTACTGTTTTGTTCATATGCAGTTAGCCTTACAAGAGGAGAAGTTAAGAATAGAAGAGGAGGCTTTATATGCTGCACAACGTGAAGCAGCCAGGGCAGCAAAGCAGAAAAAGCTCTTGGAGGTGAGGGGAAAAAAAGACCCCAATCAATATCTATCAGAGCTTCTGTTCTGTTTCTATGTATGCAGGCTTTCCTAATATCCTTTTTATCTCAGGAAATGTAATGAGGGGATTGCTTTGGCGTGTTAATTCTGGTAAAGCAAGAACCAATTTGCAAGTATAGCTCACTGGAGCGGCTGAAAATTATTGGAATTGTTTGAAGCAGCTTATGGTGCTGAGAATAGGTTTTGAAAATAACATGTATGATTTCAACCTATCATTAGCTTAACAGGCTTCTTGCATTATATACAAGTTACTGATGTTTAATGGAAAGTGATCTGTAATTGCTTTCTATAAACCCCTGAAATTAAGCACACACTGCAACATGATTTAGGCTGGACAATATATTTATCTGTCCCATGTGGCTGTGGTTTGTGCTAACATGCAGCTGGGTGTTTCCAAGTTGTCTGAACTTACTGTGGACCCAGCTTTGAGCAGGAGGTTGGACTAGATGACCTACTGAGGTCTCTTCCAACCCCACTTGTTCAATCATTTTGTGCTTTGTGTTGTAGCCCATGTCCAGTCAAGGCTTCCCAGTAGTCCTGATCTAAAAAATCCGTGCCTGCTGCCCAGTGTCCGGAGCCCGTGCTTTCGGAGCTTGCTCAAGCGAAACAAAAGCCACGTTTAGTTTCACAGTGTTTTACTAACCAGCTGCTGTTGTGTGGCCCTACAGCATATATTGCTGATGGTTTTCATGTTGTAATTCATATATTATCAGTGCATTTAATGTTTCTGCCACCTTAAGCTATTCAAATATGTGCTCTTGCAAAAATTTCACCGGTGTGTATGGTAATGATTGAACTTGTGCTGTCTATTCAGCTGTGTTGGCTGCAGTCCTAACCTGTTCAAGGAAACAGCCCACTGCACATGGGATATGTCTTCAATTAGAAGTAAATTTTCCAAGCTTCACATAAAGATCAATTGAGAAAGTCTGAAGTCTTCTGTGGGTGTAGGG